ACGCCAATTATTTCGTATCATATTGAATCACAGTTGCTATTACTATATCAAAATATGTAAAACTAATTACATTAACATTTCACAAAAACATTTATTTACATGAACAGTGATTTTTCCGTGAACTCATTTTATGTGGTTTCACTCACGTTGTTCAATAGGAGTTGAGATTTTTTCTCGCATAATTTTCACGATTTTATTTCACTCATTAGTGACTCGGTTAACTCACTTCACTCAAGCATGTAAGTAAGTTCTTATAAGCATAGAAGTGCTAGTTAACTGCACTCAAGCCCTTCAACGAGTTTCTGAACGCATACGATAACAATAATGTAATCTATAAGAATTGAACTCTGAACGACAAGGCTTACGGTGGCGACAACTGTAGTTCGCGATAACTTGATCATATTTCCATGTGCTGTCGTTGCCGCAGGTCGCAGTTACGTTGGTGGAGGTGGAGTTGGAACTCTGAATAATACCCCAATTAATTATTCGTACAAATCAAAAGTTACAGTCAAGTATCTCATTTTCTGGAACTTCACTCTTATGAGTCTTTGGTTCAAGTGATTGATTAATGAAGAACTAATTTTTTGTGGATTCTCTCACAAAATGTTCGCGACGAGTTCAATTTTCAAAATTAATTACTTACGTCTGACTGATTAACGACGAAGAAATATCCACGGACGCAAGTGAAGGTGACGTTGTAGCCTGGAGTGTTGTTCTCCACTTCACTGCCGGTCATACGGGCACCAAGCTGTGGCAGCGCTGACGTGCTACACGCTGTCGTGCGATGAGGGATAAATATTATTCTTCCTCAATGCATCATAAAGTGTATGTTTATTCAAATGAGTGGGAAATTTGGCAACGGATAATATCACTGATTATTTATTGTTAAGGTATCCCGCGGTGAAACCACTCCGGAATTCCGGCCTCTGCTTTGGAATTTACGTGGGCTCATGCCGGAAATTTACTTTCAGAGTAGATTCGGTAGTCAATTTTGGAAAATTGCAGCATGGAAAAATATTAACTGCATGTGTAATAAGAAATAGCCCTAAAAAGAAGGATGCGCTCGAGTTTGAGCAATAGCGTGAAATAATTCAAATAGGGGACATTCTTTATTTATACTTATCAGAAGGTTGCGTGAGTACCTAGCACGAAGATCACAATCATATCTTAAAAAGAGAAATTAATGTCATCGATATTAATTTTTAGGCAAGATGATAATCGTTTTACAAAGAACGGGGACCAGTAGGAGGTAGGATCAGGGTCTGAGGAAAGGTTAGTGCACTTTTTTGTATACTAATGGTCCCACATTATTCAAGTACGATTTCATTTAAACACTAGCCCGTGGAAGACCAACTTTGTGAATGTGAAAAGCAGAAGAAATTACGTGTATGCGACAAATATAGTTGTAAATGATAAATTCTTATAGTATAAATGTATGTAACAAATTCTTATAGTCAGCCTTTGAAATACACAGTGGGTGCAAAAAGTATCCGAGACAAAGTGCAAACTTTATTTAATTAAACTTTATTCATTAAATTAACATGAACAAACACCATTCTAATATAAATTTACATGGGAGAGACAAATATATCAAAACAATAATATCATTAAGTATTGACTTGATAATTGCAATTTTGTAAATGTTAAGGTTCAAAAAGTTTCCAACACATAGTAAACAAATTTACTCAATACTTCGCAATACTTCGTCATGTGACCTTTAGCAGCCAAAACTTTCAAATACCGATTAGAATACTTTTCAAAAGATTAATATATATGCTAATAGGAATTTCAGCCAACTCTTCCTTGCATATTTTTTTCAATTAGATAACATTTCTTGGATCTCTTTCCTGTACCCTCAATTTAAATTCCCGCCACAGATTTTCAATTGGACTGAGGTCAGGTGATTGGCTTGGCCACTCCAACAACTCAGTGTCCCTCTCCTGAAACCATGCAAAAGTTGCCCTAGCCGTGTGCTTAGGGCGATTATCTTATTGGAATATCCAACCTCGCGAAAGGTTAAATTTTTCGGCTGACTTCACGAGACATCTCTCAAGAATGCCCCGATATATTTCGGAATTCATCCTTTCTTCTAAGATTTCCGATTCCCCAGGGCCTGCAGACGAGAAACAACCCCAAAGCATCATGTTGCCACATCCAAACTTCACTGTTGGAACGGAATTCTTCGGGTGAATAAGTCGGAGTTCTTCTGTCTCCAAACACGACTGACAGAGTTCCGACCAAACAAATAAATTTTAGTCTTATCTGACCATAATATTTTATCCCAAAAGCTTGAAGGTTTACCAACGTTTTTTTTAGCAAAGTTCCGGTGGGACTTCAAGTGAATTTAGTGGTTCTCCCGAAGAACTTTCCTAATTCTTGCAAACATTTGTCCCACTTGATTGCAAGTCTTTTTGCAGTTCAGAGCGAGTCAGCAGAGGATTATTCTGTACTTTTCAAACTATACTCTTAGCTCAACGGTCTGAAATTTTTTGTAGTACGCCTTGAACGAGGCAGACTATAGTCGAAAGATGGAACGATCTCCACCTCCGCACAGTATCACCAACTGTCGAAATTGGGATATTTCAAGCAGATGAAATTTTTCTATTCACCAAACCAACCCTGTGTAGCTGAATAATTGATTCTCTAGTTCATTCGGACATTTCTTCAGTTTAGGCATTGTTGAAGAGCATAAAATTTAGGGCACCTTCTAATGACGATGCCAGGTAAGGAATAAATGCAGTTAGAATGATATGTTTATGGCGTTCTGTTGAATTCTAGAATATTCCAACGTTTTCTGATTCTAGAATATTCCCCCGAAAATAATGGATGAGAAAATTTTGAAGAATCAAATTTTTTGAACGATGTGTTGGATACTTTTTAACATTTGACTTTTACAAAATTGCAATTATCAAGTCAACATTTAACGATATTGTTATTTTGACATAATATTTGTATTTCCCATGTAAATTTACATTAGAATAGTGTTTATTTATGTTAATTTTTTAATAAGCTTTAATTAGATAAAGTTTTTCCTTTGTGTCGGATACGTTTTGCCTCACTTTGTATCCAATGCGGCCATTATTTCTTTCATCACAGCCTCTGTACCTGAGTTTTAGAACAATGTAAGCACGATAGAGTAACTAATTTATTTTTAAATTCAAACTGTAGTGAATTTTGAATGAATTCAAATGGAAAAAAGGTCAACTGTATATTGAGATTCACTTCTGAGAAATGTTATATTCCTGAGATTGTCGAGACACAAGATTCCTTAAGGAGAAGAAAGCAAGGAACACTAGTTAAAAAAATATAACTCGGTACTCACTGCAGTGAGTGACAGAGAGCGAATTTTCTCGTCGACGAAAACATGAAGTCACCGACGGACAGACAGACAGATAGACAGACGGACGGACAGACGGACATGGCGAGCACAATGGTGCATTTTTTCACAAATGAGAAAATGCGTTAAAAACTACGTTTGGGAAGAATGTCTTCGTCGTATCGTTCTGAAATAATGTTAAAATAATTTCCAGGGAAATCGTATCCTATATACAGGATGGATGCAGGTATCCTGGATGCCGCACAAACCATTAACATAAGTGCAAAAATGATGCTCAAAATATATTATTATCTGCACCCACCACGTTTGGCACAGTTCAGGTCCCGTCGCTCTAATTAGCAATTGCCAGTCCGGAAATTCGTGATTAATTTTACTTTCGGTTTTAATCCGAGATTATAATTACGGTGTTTATATAAGACAATACATTTTGTAATGAAATTCTACTGTTTTAAAGATTTCAACAGAGAGACCAATTTCCTTAAATTCTAACATCGAACAAACATTCTGCCAAATTGGTTACCTCTGACACAAGTCTTTAGCTGCGATAGATCCCATCCATGGTCATTACACGTAATCGTTTGGCTGCGTTTGTCGAGCGCCCACTCGTAGCCGAAGTCGCACACGACGTCTAAAGTGTCGTTTGGAAAATACTTATAATCCTTTGTAAATACAGAAAAGTTGGAATTATCCCATTTCTCCGGTAGCCAGTTGCAACCTGTAAGTACGTAGATAAATGATAATGTTAACGCACCACACGGTATTTTGGGAATCTACAACCGGCTGGTTGATAAAGTATTATGGCAAACTGATTCATCCAGCATACTTGAAATGAACTGATTCCAGATAAATGTCAGTTAGTATCGGCAATCTGATAATCTGTTTTCGGTGAAGTACGTTACTATTTTGTCTGAAAACAATATGGCTGCGTTGAAATTATTATTAATAAACTCACGGTGAAAGCAATCAGTTTTAAAATTTGGACTTTCTTGCCAGAGACCAGACTCGTTGCACCTCACAGACGCGTTGGAGAGCAGAGTCCTGTTACCCTGCAGTTTCAGTCACATTTTACTGAATAGTCACCAACGATTTCCATTGTTAACTTAAACGTACGAATAATATTAACTTGTAGCGCTAAGGCATATTCATTAAGACAACAGTGTTTGGAGTGAGGTCTACCGATTATCTGACGATTTGTAGCGTAGTTAAGCAGAGTTTTCAAATCTTAATATTTTAAATTCGAAATTTTCAGTTGACGGGTGATTAACTTGGGTATTGAAATAACCAGATTATTTTGACTTTAATTACAAGTCATGGAGGCATTCGAGTATTATTTCCTATTCGTGGTCCTTACTACTAAAAAAACTCGATTTTCTGCTCGGGGTTGATGGTGGAATCATCGACCGAAGCTTATTGTTTTATTAATTACTATACTCAAAATTACAGAAGTGATGGAGCAGGCCATCAGCGCCATATCTCATATTTCCATAAATTATTAGATTCGAAACTAATACAACACGCAATTGTTAACATCACAAGCGAAATACATCCTTTGCATATTGTGCATTGTTTTGGTGTACTCGTGCATTTATTCTCGACCCTGTTATTCATAAAACACAAACCTTCCAAATTAGACATATGAATATTTTTTTTTCCTATGTTAGACCAGCAATTTGAGCAGCTCAGTTGGGTCTTGTCCTTCAAGATGATACATCCGTTTGGTTTGCCGTCTCCCTGACAATAAGATAACAGAGCTCTATTTAAACTTTAGTTTGTAACCTTCAATATATTTGCGGAGAAGTAGAGTTTTAATTTTAAAGTATTGCAGTTCTCGAGTATAGTTAACACAGCGACAGAGCTTCCATTTAGCTAAGCTGTACAATACAGGTTATAATTTCGATCTCAACCTTACTAATAACAATCTGTTCAAATTCTATACCAAACGCATTCAATGAACGACAGCTTAATTTATTACGCACATTGTTTGGCGATACTTGCTCACAATCATAATTATATGAAGGGTTGTCGAATTTGTATCTGGCAGAAAAAATCATCGCTTAGTAACGGTGCAAATTCCTTCTACAGTATAATCATTGATTCACTGTCCCACATTACTATTCATATAAATTTACGGCTTAAACTTGACAATAAGTTGCTCGAACACCAATTCCACTATAGACGCTAATTTGGCGTTATAGGGTTTGAACTAGAGAATGAACCAAGTGATTGGGAACAGAGATTCGTAAAATGTATCTTTTTCATAAAATATACAATGAGAGTGTAAGCCACACCTGCTACCATGGGCTGTGTAATATTCTGATTCGGAGATCGGGAAGTTCAGGTTGTCAGATCTTAATCGCACCAAGTTTGCTCCTTGTGCCGTGCACCTGGCATGGCAGATACATGAAAAACTTTGATGTAGACATGAATGATATGATCCATGTGGTGGCGCTCCACGAATCTGAGTCGACGTCGCCATTTAGCATGAGGGGGCAGCTGGTGCCTGTCGTGTAAATGAGGCAAAAATGAGTGGTCACTGACAGTTATTTACGCGGCGTTATATGTAATTATGAGATATTTTTAGCGGCGTCAATTCATATATGAGCAACTTTTTCGTTGATGAAACAAGAATTCAAGATAAGATATAAAATTCATATGTTATTTTCAGATTTTTAGCGCATTTTCTCATATGTGGTAAAAATGCACTATTGTGCTCGCCATGTCCGTCCGTGCGTCTGTCTTTCTGTCCGTCCGTGACTCCACGTTTTCGTCGACGAAAAAATGCGCTCTCTGTCATTCAATGCAGTGAGTATACTGAGTTATATTTTTTACTCATGTCTTGCCTGCATATTGCTTGGCTGCAACTTACTTTCATCGATGGATTTCGGTCGAATGTATATCTGAGCCGTCTGAATATCACGAACAGATCCCCATATTAGGCGGCATTGTGTGGTAGACGATAGTTTCACTGGTTTCAGGTACGACTGTGAGAATCAAACAGTAAAAATGATCATTCTTTTATGGAACGAATCTTAACAATATGCACCTTACCCTGAGTTCGGGGCTCTTATCATGCAATCTCAATTCTCAGCGCTATGAGTCACTATGTGACGAAAATTTCATAAGATGAAATGTGAGCCTCATTCCAATGCGTTTAAGGGGAGTATCTGCCCAAAATTTATCTCGGCTATTTACAGACGGATCAATTTGAAACTTGGTACACATATGTTAAACCGAAAAATAGACAGCTTTAATTCGTGTAAATTTTTCGAAAAAATGGAAGAAAACGTGAAATTCTTAGAAAACGGCTAGAAAAGAGGGGTACCGTAGAAAACTATCTCCTAGGATTTTCAAGCTATAAATAACATCGAGACGCATATCATTCGATGCGTAAGGACCATATGCATCGATTCGTTTTAGCTTTTTCGAAAATTGAATTTTTGTGGGTGACCGAGGATTTTCCGTAAAATTTTCGAAAAATTTTCGATTCCCCCATTTCGCCCTCTCCTTTCTCAAAATATTTTCAAAACTATTACGAAATTGAAAAAAGTTAAGATTTTTCTCTAGATCTTTTATTTGCGAATCGAATGGCATATCTATCATCGCTGTAGCTCAAAAACTCTAGATGAGATAGGTCTGCAGTGCCAATAAGTTAACTTTTAAGTAGAGCCCGACAATGTCGCGCGCGCCTCGAAATAGACATTCAAGGGTGCAAGGTTGCAGGACTAGACGATACTGGAGCTAAATATCTGTCAAGGATGATGCGAACGACGGCACGAGAACTATCCCACACGACTGCGGCAGGGTTACTGAAACGAAGTGTGTGAAGACTAGCTATTTAAAGTGCACTGCGGTAATTATTTCTCTGTCCTTAATGTTAAGGAACTCCACCACCCCCCACCCTTTCGCGATCTATCGTGAACGCACAAATCAACGTACAGAGATGGTTTTGGAACCGTTGAATAGGTCAGAATGTCAGCTCTAAGATGAGACTAAAAATCGGAAAAGCCAAAATCCAAAAATTTTTGCCAGATGCTCCCCTTAACGCCTCTGACGAAAAAATTATTCAACTGAAGTAATTAAATCATAAGTGATATTTTATATTTTATTTATAAGTGAATATGCTTTAAGCTGAATGTCTCATTCATCATATATGAAATCGTTTAAAAATCTCTAATGTACTAAAGTGAAATCGATTGCCTTTATTTCCTTGTGGCTCCCCTGTGGCACGCCAATAAAAATTTTGAATTAGATTGAAAATAGTAATTGTTTTCAGATTGATATGATTTAGAACAACATACCAATTCCTACAAAAATAGAAAAAATTGGAGAAATATAACGACGGATGGCGTAAAATTAGAGAAGATATCGTCCGGGCGATCTGTACTAAATCATTAATTACGAATTGACAGTAAAAATTAAAGATATAAAATTTGTCCAGTAAATAGATCGGCACGCCCATTGCGAAACAGAAATATTGAAAAAACGTAATCTCTGTGAATTGAAAAGGTAAGTAATTGCGTTACATAAGAGAATTGCATTATGCAAAATTATTGTTTATAACTTAAGAAAATGAAAATGAAATTTTTCATAAATTATAGTAAAATTCAAACTTAGATTGTAGATTTATGAGCCTAAATTCTAAAATAAAATGTCGCAAAAGTTAAAACTTTTGAACATTTTAAGGGTAAATGAAGGAATGTGAAGATAAATTAGAATTTAGGAGTACTGGAAGTGAGGAGGGGTATATGGAGAGCGGGGAAATGAGTGAAGTAGTTGAGACAGTTAGCTTTACTCACGGACAGAATATATCAATCTGATGACTTGTATAAAACGAGTTCAGCAAATTGATAAGCATATGTGGCAAGAAGAGTCTACAGTGATTTCTCAATTTCTGGAGTACATCTCAAATGTTACAAAAAAAATCAACACAAACGTCGGCAGAAAGTAACGCCGAAATCTTTATAAACCAAAAAATATATTCGGTAGCAAATGAACATAAACAGAAGCTTATCACTCTTGTCAGAAGAAACCATTTGTGGCCGTGAGAAAAAATAACCCAAGCAACCCTTTTGAGTTTTAATACACCAAGTCATTCGGAGGTTTTGAGCATGCGCTCATGCAAGTTGAAAGATCTAACCCCTTTTCTTTTTTGGATGAGTTGACACGCCGATGGGCTATTTCTGAAGTCCCACGGAGTCCACCAACCCGAAGAGAAGTCCACACCCAGGCTTTGATTCAGCGCGTCGCCTGCACAGCATGGAAATTAGTCTGCAATGCAACCTGCTATTATTCTTTGTACGAACTCAAATTTGTATGCTTTAACTATAAATGCCTAAGTATGCACGATTTGATTTGTGTGCTGTTGTTTGCATGATCTGAACCCAAGTCCTGTGTGGACGTTTATTTCCTAATAAGAACTTTGGCTTCGTTCGTCAAAATTTTGCGAAGAAAATTTATTATGCTAAATATAATTGTATGAATTTTTGATATAAATACGATTTTGGATCAAATATTTTCTAGTCATTAATTGATTAATTACGTTAAATTACAGATGGATGTCTAGAAAATCACAATCTAATCCACGCGCCGTAGTCTCCGTGGTAATTGCCAATTAATCTATGCGCTTTATTACAATATATAATTAATAACTATTGTATCTAGCATACCAGCGTCTCCGTGGTAATTGCCGATAGATCTAAATGTTTTCTTACAATATATAATTAAAACTATTGTATTTGGCATACCAGCGTCTCCGTGGTAATTGCCGATGGACAGAAGCTTGTAGTCGGGGCTGGGGCCGATGGTGACGTTGTCGTACGTAGCGATCCTGGACCCGCCTCCGCGTAAAATGAGCTCCACCTGTTAAAAAAATATAACTCAGTACTCACTGCAGTGAGTGACAGAGAGCGCATTTTTGGCCCGGAAAAACTTCTACATTTATCAACCGATCTTTCGGAAATTTCACACGCATCGTAAAAAGTGAAATAAAAACATTTTGTTCATAGGAATTTTTTTTAATGAATGCAGGAAACGTGAAAACTGCAGAGAAGAGGGTACTTTAAAAGTTTATAACTTTCGCAAATCACATGCTACAATATCGAGACACATTGCTTTCGATTCGTAACAAAATAATCTAGCGGCTTTAGAGCCACAATTTTCGATATTCTTTATCGTTTCTGTTTTATGCACGTTTATATTTTATGCAGTCAAAATTTTCAGTTTTTGACCGAAACGGTCCACTTGGAAATGAAAGTATTCTGAAACCTTTTGCAATTATTCATACCAACAATGCCGTGACAAAAAATTAGATCGTATTTTTGATGTTGGAGCTACGAAAATTCCTACGCAAACGTAAGAATTTTCAAACAAGTGGAAGGCATTTTTTTCGATTGGCCAGAATGAGGATTTAAAATGCTATAAAAATATATTTGTAAACGCGCAAACGGCAATTTTAATGTGAATAATAACATATAAGATTGTTGAATTGAATTGCCCTGAATATTCGCTAAAAACTTTAATATTGTTATATGACAATAACATGCATCTATTTATATAGTATAGTAGAATAGTATACAGTAGTAGTGTCGGCGCTGAAGAATAAGCCAAGTTTGACTTGCGTGAGCGCGATAACAATACAAGAGATATAAATAATTCGACGCTCAAGGACCCGCACAAAATTCAAATTTTATTGTGTTCTCATACACATGGATGCGCGCTGAAATTACCTTCTCAATCTTTGTTTCCAGTTACATGAGTAAAACTGACAGGCTCGTTTATGTAAACCTGAATTTTTATTGCCATGCATTAAGTGGAGTTGTTATTTCATAGTTATTTGTCACCGTATGAATTGAATTCGTAGTTATTTGTCACCATCCCATGCTCGGAATGCATGTGACGTCAGAAATCAACAAACCAGTCAGTCACTTGAATGGTAATCATTCATGTAATTTAAGTTTTCAGTGTAAATATTGAGAATTCAATTAAAGCTAAATAGCAGAAACAGAAATTTAAATAATTATGAAACTTACGTGCATAACGATAGCAGCTTCGGAGCTGCTTACTGATTTTGTCAGATTTTGCCAGTTCGTCAGCCCTGAGGAGCGAGAAACGACAATTATCGTTAAAGTAAATTTTCTGCATCCGAGAAGCCGTTTGATTTTCATTCTGATAACTGATAATTGATTTTATTATAAATGCAAAAACTTCGGTACATTATTCAGCCCATTTTTAGCGCATTTTCTCATTTATGGAAAAAATGCACTATTGTTCTCACCATGTCCGTCTGTCTGTCTTTCTGTCTGTCTGTTCGTCCGTCTGTCCGTCCGTGACCTCAAGTTTTCGTCGACGAGCAAATGCGCTCACTGTCACTCACTGCAGTGAGTACTGAGTTATATTTTTTAATCATAGTGAGTTTTCTAAATATGAAAGTTCATATGGTTTGCTTACAATCTTCTTCGAAAGTATATTACTACCAGAAAAATATTTTTGCATGCATACAATCCATACAGAAAAAAATATCTTCTTAAGGCACAATCGAAACGATTTTTATATCACATTATTCTAGGAATTATTTGCACTTCTTGATAACCGCAAGGGTGTGAAATAAGATGTGCCTACAGTCGGACCCAGCAAGCTCTTCAACGTCAAAAAAAGCAGCTTATTCACTCTGAGCTGCTATAAATTGAGCTGCAGTCCGGGTAATCAAGTTTAGAAATAAAAAATATGACTCAGTACTCACTGCAGTAAGTGACAGAGAGCGCATTTTCTCGTAGACGAAAACGTGAAGTTACGGACGGACAGACGGACGGACAGACGGACATGGCGAGCACAATAGTGCATTTTTTCCATAAATGAGAAAATGCGCTAAAAATTAAGAAATACTATGCGTTAGTTAATATAATAGGAAATAAACTAAATGAGTATATCTACCTATGCTGTAGGGACAGGGGCTAGATGTCATTACGGTTTTCAAGTCTACAGTTGTTGAACTCGAGGCGTTCTGGCAGTAGGCGACTGTCCAGCCACCGCCAGATGCCTCCAAATCGCATTCAACCTGCAGCAAAAGACTCTTAGTGTCAAATATAATCACAGTCTCTTTACAAAATCGATCAGCATAAACATTATAAAAGTTCTTAATATTCATAGGAGGAAGCTGGTTTATATGTAGGTCCGTACACTGAAGCCTGCTAACCCTGATTATGTTATTGCTATTCTAGAGAGCATTCCGAATCAAGCATGTTTCGTTGGTTTCAGCAATTCGCACAATACAAAGTAGAAGACAAATTTCCATGTTGAATCCTGAATGAGTCGCTTCTGAATTAAATTTAAAATTAATTCGTTAGCAGCGAAATGTTATATGAATAGTGTCTCGCGGCTGTACTGAGAGACCCTTAGAAGGATCAGGCGAACACTGATATCAATATGTTTCTCAAGTTCACTCTTTCAAACTGTGACTACAAATTTTATCTTGTATCGTGCCTATGAAGAATTTTACTCGATAGCCGGTCAAATAAATATGTTACACTAGAATAAACGTGTGTCATTTTTTTCTCTGAACGATTCAGATCTTCTCGTTTATGACGAAGAAGAATGTTAAACATTGCAACTATTTACGTAAATTGAAAACGGATGTCTTAAAACTCGATTCAGGACGTGTTCCTTTGCAATAAATATTCAGATTTGATTTAAATTTAGCTATACACTTACGTTGACCGAAGAGTCGGCTGGGTCCCCCGATGGTATCACTTGGTAGGTGCCGCTCTCGTTTAATCCAAGCGCCTGCACGTCTGCGCAGTGCCTCGGCCAAGAACAAACGGCGCACGCTATTTTCAGATAATTAATGCGTTATTAACTACATATGTAATACTAATGGGGGACAGAATATGGAATCTTTAAGGGTGCCACGTTCAAGGTTGCGACATCCCTGGAAAAATGCACTTGCTAAACTGCCTAAACCTAAAACTAAAAGAAAACTCCTACGACTATCGTCAAACAAATTTAGCTTCTCCTTCCCACAGTTAATGTTAGAGCTGAGACAAATGATTAATTGAACTGCTTCAAACATTTTCAAATAATACACCGTCATCTCAACTGTAAGATCTACTGTAATAATACCCCTCATGCTTATGCTGACCTTATTACAGAAGTTTGCATTATATCGGTCCTCTCCTACTTCACTTGAGATATTTATTATACTCAAACTACTATCAAACTCCTGTGATGAACTTACTCTCAATGCAGATGTCATAGACGTCGGTCCAGGTTTTAGAGTAACAGTTGCACGAACTAATCTGCTGTGTAGCGCCGGACAAGAAAGAGAAGCCTTCATTGCAGGTGTAGGTGAAGACGCCGTCAGCGAGCGATTTATTGGTCGAGTTACCCACGACGGGTAGTTTTGTGGCATCACAAGCCCATTTATGGCACTCTATTAAATGAAAACGAATTTTTTTGATTTTGTATCACAGCATGGAATTGAATTTTTTCAAAGAAATGATAACAATCTTCTCTATTTCACAACTCCTTCAACATTGTTGAAGGTTTAATTAATTCTCTTGGGCACTATAGAAACAAATTCAAAATTAAGGCCATTAAATACTTTGTTATTTGTTCAGTCCAGATCTTGAGAGTACTAAATAACTTTAGAGAATGAATTGGAAATTTTTTGAAATTTGGGATTTTCTTAACACGTTGAATCCGATTGCTTCATCTGGTATTTAAATTTAATTTTTTGTACTATGAATGAATTAATTTATTATGTACCACTAAGTCCCAGAGAAATACATTTCGTGGTACGTATACGTCCTACTTCGTATTCAACGTGTTAAATTATTAATTGTTGATAAATATTGTACAAGTTTTCGATGAATGAGATCATAGTTCAATAGCTCATCAATTATAAAACGATTTGATTATGAATTATGGGTGTAGCTTATTAGATTCGCTGCATTTTGTGTGTGTGTTTGTTTTATTTTATGAGTCTGATACCTTATTAATTTTATACGTATTTCTATGTTTTCTTACATATACAAAAAATATAACTCAGCACTCACTGCAGTGAGTGACAAGAGAGCGCATTTTCTCGTCGACGAAAACTTGAGGTCACGGACGGACGGACAGACGGACAGACGGACGGACGGACAGATAGACAGACAGACGGACATGGTGAGCACAATAGTGCATTTTTTCCATAAATGAGAAAATGCGCTAAAAATGGGCTAAATTAAAGAATAGTAGTAAGTTTATAATAGTAAATAGTAAATTTATAATAGTATAGAATAGTAGTAAATAATAGTAAATTTCGCTGAATAGCCTATTTTTACCGATTGTGGATATAAGTTGCGGGTGGAATTAAGTTATCCAGAATCCAAGCATCCCGATTTACATTACAAATTTTAGAATTTGATGTTCGTATTGCAGCAGTTCCTATGAACAGAAATATTTAATTTAAAATTTCCTTTGAACTCCGATTTGTATATCTTGTGGCAATAAGTTTTACAGTTTTGAATTTTCGATATAAAATAACAAAAATTTATTTAAACCTGGAAATTTATTTGATCCCCAAAAATCTTCCTTTCATCTTTAATGGCATGTTGCAAAATTTCACTTATAATGTGAAAATTTCACATATGGCGAATATGTCACATGGTAGGCATCGAAGATATGTGCTCGAGTAGTCCTAATTTATTACTAGCGCCTGGCTTCAACCTTAAAAACTACACCCGCATTCTAAACTTTATACTGAATTTTGAATTGTTAACATTGCAATTGGAAAAATGTAACTTCAATCGTAAGAGTAGTACACACCACTGTAACAGGAACGCCTCTGTACACTGTACACACTGTAACAGTGTGTACAGTGTAACTCTGTACACTGTACACACTGTGTACAGTGTACAGAGTGTACACGCTGTACACTCTGTGTACACTCTGTGTACACACTGTAACCCCACGCTAGTTACCGCAACTTGTGATCACCCGAGCGGCCCACACCACAGTAACAAGAACGCCTCCCGCAACACCCCATGCAAGTCACCGCAACTCGTGATCATCCGAGCGGCCCACACCACCGTAACAAGAACGCCTCCCGCAACACCCCGCGCAAGTCACCGCTACTCGTGATCACCTGAGCGGTCCACACCACCGTAACAAGAACGCCTCACCTGACGCAGTGCAGAGCTGGTGCAGCAGGAGGACGGCGAAGGCGGCGCAGGCCGTCATGCCCTTCAACGTGGCGAGCAAACGCATCATTCAGTTCTATGCATCTCTTTGAAATTCAGCGACGTCTGCAATTACCAAAGAAAATACATTGAATTTTATGTTGTATTTTTTTTATTTGGTTAAAGAACCCTCATAACAAACAAAATTTCAAATAAATTCAAAAGTGTCAAAATATTCGTGCAAAATGGTGAAATTGCCAGTCGTTTGTAGAAAGGCTTTATTCTGATATATTTTTATGGGTTTTATTATGTAAACATAGAATTGTTTTAATAAAGCTATACAATATTTATTTTCTGTAAACTCGTATGCAATATCAAAGATAAAATATTATCAGATTTGACAGTTGAAAATGATTGCAAATTTACTCAAGAAATGTTATGATATCATAGGATTAAACTTTCCAACAAGTCTTTCAAAAATACCTGCAACAGTCTGAGGGTTTTAACAAGAAGTTACTTCGCACTCGGAGGAGCCACGAGTCTCAGTGACCTCTGGCGCTCGACGCGCTGCTTTTTGAGCGCTCGGCGCCCTGCCTCCGTTCCCTGGCTACGCCGCGTCAACACCGCGCGTGTCCAGGGGCTGCTCGCTCTGTATCATGGATACCGAATCTACGATACCGTCTGTATCGTGGATTCTGTCGGTGATTGTTCCAGGATTTTAATTAGAACAAAGAAAATGTTCGTTTTAGGTTATTTAGGAAGTACGGCCAGTCTGGAGATGGTGTAAAAATATAACTCAGTATCAATATATGTAAGGTACCAGTAGGTTAACCCAGCTTTAACCCTTCAGCTGGTTAGTTACCATATATGCTCACTTTACATCTCCTTCTAAAAAAGCCCAGCGCCTCCCCTGTTTTGTGTTTGAGGCTTCAATCCAACCTATATAGCTTCAATTTCTGCCATGCTCAAGAATTAAAATATCAGCATTTAAATTAAAGTTTTGACTTGGACAATTAAATTGATGCCCATTTAGCATTTTTGAAAAGTCAGAAGAAGCTATAGCAATTTAATTTGCAGCTTGATAATTTGCAAGTTGCAGCTTGATAGTTCCCATTGCTAATGAATTATTAAATTAAAAAAATTTCCATTTCATTTAGCTTTATGACCACATTCTATAAAATTTTCATCTGCAATTTACTTCAATATCGCGCATAATTTCGAAAAATATAAGAAATAAATTAATCTTATAATTTTCCATATTTTCTCGTGTTGGCTCCCGAAATTCAAACTCGTGCATATATCTATTTTTGCCCCCCCAAAGGGTTAACCGGGCCACACAGATTGTCAGTTAAATTTAAATTCACCAATTCCACTTTTCGATCCAATCCTTTCCGCCCCACCATGCAATCACTCCCTATTTTCCCACAAGAAAAAAATTTCAGTTCCAGGTAATATCCCGACACAATAAGTATTCTGTATACGCACCCCAACAGTCACGCTATATCTGTATTTGTGGTGCCAGTCTTCTATAATGTATATGCCTCCAAACCCGTCAACTTATGGAGGATTCGTCTACATTATTTCAAATTTATGGAGGATAAGCCCACACTACGAGTAAATTTAAAAGACGAGATTTGTCCGTATTACGAGCAAATTGATAAGACTAGATTAGTCCGTGTTACGAGTAAATTAAAAGGACGAGATTAGTCCGTATTGCGAGTAAATTAAAAATACGAGAATAGTTCGTATTGCGAGTAAATTAAAAAGACGAGAATAGTCCGTACTACGAGTAAATTGCTGCCTTTGATAAATTTAAGGCTTCATTAGTGAAGAAAGTTATTTCAGAATGATTTATGTTCAATTTTACCAAACTATCTTCATTAATAATTTTTATGGTTTACAAATGAGCACTAAATTTTTATAACGAATACAACATCTTGCTCTTGGAAAATTTCTTGATTGGAACAGTTACACATTAAATTTACAGGAATTATGGTAAAATTATATTTATTGCATTATTTCAAAAGAAACAATAAACTAAATGTCAGCCTGAATCACGAACCTCATATTTTTACAGGTAGCCTCCAGTTTGCTAGACACCGGGGAGGATAAATAACTTAGGTCGCAGCCCATGGTGATTTACAAGCCGAACCAAACTTTATTTGCCATGCGCAACAATTAAGACAACAGGCAAGATAGTCCGAATCTTCAAAGTTATCTAAAATATTTGATCAGATCAGTTTGTGTGGAGTTCTCGTTCAAATATACCGGATAATAAGTGCAACCATACGTTTTCACAGCATGCATTATGATAATATAGGTTGCTCTTCGTATCACGTATCTGTAAGTACTGAACCTCATTTCATCGTCGGTCGATAAGATCAATTATTTGGATGAATGCTTATAAACTATTTCCTCTTCAAGGCGCATTTCTATAGGACCGATTAATCTTCAAGAAATATCGAGTAAAATTTTTCGAATTCTTATATATGCCAACAACGTTGTGGAAGATCGACTTTCGAATGAAATGCTGCGTTATGTTGACAACGCTTTTTACAACACTTCTCTTTAACTTTACTTCTTGTTTGTTTGTTTGTCTGTCTGTCTGTCTGTCTGTCTGCTACAAATCTTATAATCGAAATTTTAATACACTTCTACTTATTCTATCGANCTGTCTCTTATACACATCTAGATGTGTATAAGAGACAGAATCTAAGCTCACCAAATATTCTGTTTGTGAGTAAATCGTGATAAAGCTATAATTTTTGTGCTCTACGGAACAAATTTCAGCAACATTATAATAACTTAAAAAGATTTATATTCATTCTGAACCAAATTACCCAGCTCGTGATTCACGGCAGAGAAAACGAAGGCCTCGTAATTTCCGGAAGTTTATGGTGCGCTGCATCGGAGTGAAATTGTTCGGCGCATTGAACGCGTGGTCTAATCGAGGCAATTAAGTAATTTCGTGTCCGTTTTTATTTAACGGCCTTGTAGGATATAATTTAAGGTTTAATTCTGAGAGATATTGAAGAGAAATTTTGTATATGGAATATCAACGGCGGTCTTTGCCAAGATATTATATGAAAAAAACTGCCACGATATTGAGCAATTGAGTTTTGCATGTACAAAAATCTTCATTCATGATTTTCACTTATTACGCCTAAAGGCTAGTCTAAACTTTCTCGTGAGATTAAATGGGTTTTGTTTTAAATCCGTTGATTGTTTTTACAATTTAATTACATAACTCTTGTTTCGCATGATATCCAATGCACTCGATATAATGAGTTTATTACTTTCTGCTGACGATAAATATCTTTTTCTTGAACTTTTCGGTTTCCAGTGAAGTTTTCAATTGTGAAAAGGCCTTGCTGTAATTATTCGAGCATTAAAAATTATTTCTATCCTTAGTCCGATGCTTCGCTGTATTATTCTGCTCAAGTTCAAGCTGTGTTATTCCACTCAAGTTCTATTTTTTAAGTCGTTGAACTTGAATACCAAATCGACGAGTCAGAATATCATAACACCATACGCCGATCAAGCATTAAAAATTATTTCTATCCATAGTCCGCTGCTTCGCTGTATTATTCTGCTCAAGTTCAAGCTGTGTTATCCCGCTCAAATTCTATTTCCAACCAGCACAATGTGTTGGAAATACTAATAAGCTGAATTGAGGGCGACACGTCTTCGCGATTGACTATGACTGCATCCAGGAATTCTCTTCTGCTCAAGTCCTATTTCGTCAACTTTGATTGGATGAGCACAATGTGTTGGAAACATTATTAAGCTGACTTGAGACGTAGACACGTATTCGCGATTGACTGTGACTGCATCCAGGAATTCTCTTCATGTGATCGTCATCGTTCAATCTGCTTGTTATAAGTAGTGAAATAATGGCAAACTGAAGTTAAAAATCATTATATTTTGTGAGGCATTAATTTAATTCCACTCTCTAGTGAAATTCATTTCACTTGCCGAGTTTACATAATTCTGCGATACATTATTAGTCGATAAATTATTAAAGTCGATACGTTATTAGTTGAAGTTTACATAAGTTTACATAATTATGCGTTATCGCATAATTCAGCATTTACTTCAAATTTGTATCATTTATTCGCGGTAATTATTATGAAGTTTTACCCGATTGAACAGATGCTGAGCTCCTGAGAATGAGATAATGTTAATTTTCTGACAATTTGACTTGGATTAGCATTAACATCTAATTGATTATAAAATGATTAGCATTTCATTAGATAAAACATATAAATTACACCAATTTTCAAGTATGTCATGAGTGATGAAGTATCCTCAAATCTGCAAGTTTAATGATGTCTCACTTCAATATAATTGTGCTTCTCGCGTAACATGGACGTTGAATAATAATTTTTTCTGAACACGCAGGCAGAGAAATTTGATTGAATTGTTAGGAATCATAAAATTTGAAGATATATCGAAAACAGAGAGAGTAATCCTCTCAGAACCTCAATCTCAATCGTTGTACGTTTTTCTGGTGTTTTTCTGACCATAGTTTCGGTATTAACACATAGAAATGGAAGTGAGTCGGAAGTTTTCTGTGTTTTTTTTTCACCCGCTCCTAATTGAGAACCAATTTCTTGATCATTACAGACGACTCAGTTGAAAAATCTTTACCAGCTGTTCAATATTCGACCCGCATTCAATGTTTATTAAGCAGATAATTTCTACTTAGATAAAGTTTCTTTCTGCTCTCTAGACATGAATTCGGAGTGAAACAATTTCAGCTTTTTTCAGGTTACGGTTATTATTTATTTTATTATTTTTCGATTTATATAAATCTATGAGCTACTTCCTCAACATAACAATGTAGTGCTGACACAGAGAGTGCTTATTTTCAGGTTCGGCCATCCAATTTGGAATTTCGTCTTGATTACTTTCATAATTATTCTGTATTTCTGCATATATATATAGCTGGTTGCAACTCTGCATCTATATAACTGATTGCGATAATTCTGCATCTATATGACTGACTGCGATAGATATCGCCATGAAGATATTTCAATCACCCAAAATCCACCATCGATTGATTCTTTGAATGGCTTGACACACGTTGTTGATTTAATTCGTTAATTATATTCTTCAAAATTAATTGAGAAAAATACAAGGTTGTATATATTGGTACTAACTGCACTTTATACTGTACACCTGCATTTGTATTGTATGTATTTTTAAAATTTGGATAAAATTTTCAACAGACCCATTCCCGATCTTACTATATAACGCCAAGACAAAACTGCTGTCCATGGAAGTGTCCCATGAAATCGGTTTAATTTCGAGGCTGAAATCCTTTATGAAATCCTAAAATATCGAGTCCATACTGCACTCTATATATCACCTATATGGAGTGCTGAAACAAAATTAAAAAGTGTCAAGTTTGCACTGCAGATAGTTAGTAAAAGTAAATTTTATTTTGGAACCCATTCATGTTAAACCTCAAGTGAGAGAAATAGAGCATCGATTTATTGTGCCACTCAACTTCTTGAAAAAACTGCGAATTCGAACTTAAACCACTTGAACTAGAATTGATGCCCAGAGCTATAATTGGTTTTTCTAAGTTTTTCTTAGTATTTTTATAATTATAAAATGTTCTGCGTTCCTGCTATGCACATTCAACCAATAATCGGAAGAAACCTTAAAAAACGCGCTGAAGGCCATCAACTATATATACGTGCTGTTTGGGACCCAACTCTTGACATTATCCAGCATCATTGAAAACTCATCACTAGTGAGAGATAACTGCATGCGTGTGGGATGAGAAAATAAAATAATTTTGATTTCTAACGAAATAAATTATTTTAATCAAGTTAATTAAGTTTCAAAGTTCAAATTTTATTCCAAATTGAGAGTCTTCTTCTTTAATATAGTAGGAGACATACAAAAGTGTGTTTTCATCATCGGTGGTAATTTTATTTATCAAAATACAATATTTATTCTTAACTTAGCAGTTTGAGTTACTCATACATTAGCTATGTACTCAAGTTGACGACGTTCAACTCTGGTGGAGCTCAATTTTTGGCTAACTTCGCTTAAACACGTATAAAAAAAGATTAATTTCATCTTGTCCTGCTAAATTTGTTAATGTTTTTAGACGTACATATTATGAGCCATTATGAAACAAATACCGATATTATCAGTATCCGTGGAATACTAGTAGTTAATCTTTCAAATAAAATTTCACAGAAATTCTATTCCGGATAATATGGTTGATAGCAATGAAAAGGTACTCAAATAAATATTCTATTCTATTATACATGCGGAAGCTATTTATATGGCAGAGGCAATGGCATGGTTACACCTTAACGACTAAAAGACCTAGAAGCGTTTTAACTATGCTAACCGTCATATACATAATGGAAGCACTGACACTCAATAATGTTCTCTTAAAGTCACTGAAGAGAATAACAGAGTCGAGATCTCAGTAAATTTACAGCTCAGAAATTCGGTCATTTCTTTACAGGGAGATCAGTTTCGGCTGGTGTCACAAACACACTCGCTTTCGCTGTTCAACCTTTAGGGGGAACTACTTAAACTTGTTTTCCTAAGATTATTGATTGATTGAATTCCATCTACAACTCGATAGCAAGGTAAAGTGTATGACGTTGAAATGTACTCTTTAATTATTATGAATTATTCTTAATAAGTTTTTAGATTACTACTCCTGTCATTTTATTTTTGATTTGAGAATATTGAGTTTTTAATTTTGAATTCGTGTTGGGAGATTTAATTTCCTGGAGGGATTCCATGGAATAACACTAATAAAAATTTAATTAATAATTTCTCAGGTTGCGTAAACATATTAACCAATAGAAAAAGTAGACTTTCAATGATTTCATTTTGGTATCTGAATGTAGCAAATTGACCGTCCAGTGAATAGAAAATTGACCTTTTACTTACGACATTTCTTAACATTATAGTTACAGTCCAAGCTTATGTTAGCATTTCCTAGTAATCTCCATCGCGAACATAAACATGATTACTCATCAACATTCCAAACGATATAATCGCACAAAAACGATGTCCATTAAATTTTAGAAATTAGCACGCATTAAAGTTTTCCTAATTCGCTCTTGTAGCAACAATGTTTCGTTTCAAAACGTTATTCATTAGGACGCTAAAAACCAATGATGTTATTCGCTTATAAAATTACGGAAAAATATTTAGCGTTACTGACCTAACTCTGGGCATTCGACCATATAATTACCATTGATAAAAATTGGTTAATCAAAATTTTTTTTCTGGGATTCTTCAAATATTATTTTACTTGTCTAAGAATTTTATCAAGTTTTCCAGGAAGTATATTACAACATTTTAATCCTTCTCAATAAGGTTGTACAGGAACCTCTTATAAACTTACAGAATTTTATTTTCCATAATTAATTAGTTCTTCCATTTATTTGATTCATTAAATATGGAATTCCAGCTAATGTAGTCTGGTCACCGTGTGGATTTTTAACCCCATTCATAAACTGCGAACTTTAATTTGAATTGCGCGTCAAAACTTACACATTCAAGAAATTTTTATTCGCGTTGAAATTAATTACTGGAAGGGAAAAATTAAGAATGTTCTATATTGTTAATCTCAAACTTATCATCTTTAATTCATACTGAAAATTCTGCGAATGAAAACTTTTAAACTGGATTATGGATGATCATGTTTTAACTTTGGATTATTTTAATTAATAATTGTTTATAATACAGTGAGTGATGGCGTTCACCAGTCGAAGTACTTGTGGTCTATGCAGTCCCGGGCTGACCCGCACCACTGAGCCTCGCTCAGCAGTGGACACGGCCGACCCTGGCGACGCGCGTGCTTCTTCACCTCCCTGGTCCGAACCTGAACAACAGTGGGGCCAGTTAGGGACAAACTTATTGAAATTATGAGGAAAAACATATAGAGTTTTTGGAATAAACTTATTGAAATTATGAGGACGAAACAAATTAAGCTTTGGGGACAAACTAATTGCATCTATTGGGACAAACTAATCGAAACTATAGGGAACAAATAATTGAAATTATGAGGAAAAAACATATAGAGCTTTTGGAACAAACTTATTGCATCTATTGGGACAAACTTATCGAAACTATAGGGACAAATTAATTGAAATTATGAGGAAAAACATATAGAGTTTTTGGAACAAACTTATTGAAATTATGAGGACGAAACAAATTAAGCATTTGGAACAATCTAATTGCATCTATTGGGACAAACTAATTGAAACTATAGGGAAAAATTGATTCAAATTATGAGGACAAAACAAATGAAACTTTTGGAACTAACTAATTGCATCTATTGGGACAAACTAATCGAAACTATAGGGACAAATTAATTGAAATTATTAGGGTGAAATATATAAAGCTTTTGGAACAAACTAATGGAAACTATAGGGATAAACTTATCGAAACTATAGGGACAAACTAATTGAAATTATGAGGACAAAACATATAGAGCTTTTGGAACAAACTAATTTCAACTATTGGGACAAACTTATCGAAACTATAGGAACAAACTAATTGAAATTATGAGGACAAAACAAATTAAACTTTTGGAACTAACTAATTGCATTTATTGGGATGAACTAATCGAAAATTTAGGGACAAATTAATTCAAATTATGAGGACAAAACGCAAATGAAGCTTGTGAAACAAACTAATTGCATCTATTGGGAATAACTAATCTAATCTAAGGGATAAACTAATTAAATTTATGAGGAAAAAACAAATAGAGTTTTTGGAACAAACTAATTGCATCCATTGAGACAAACTAATCGAAAATTTAGGTTTAAATTAATTCAAATTATGAGGACAAAACAAATTATGAGGACAAAACTTTTGGAAGAAACTAAACAAACTTGACGCCCTAACTAATTGCAACTATTGGGACAAACTAATCTAACATTTAAGGACAAATTAATTGAAATTATAGTCATGAACTAATTGAAATTGTGACTATTATAGGAAGAATTTTATATTTTTCCTACATTCTAAATTTTCTATAGGGAATTTGAAGAAAATCAACCATAGAACGAGAAAAAATTTATATCAGAGGAATTTACTGCTTATGGATGAAAGCGATTCAAAATTGAGAAGAAGCGAGTGAAAAAAATATTCAAGAAAAAAAAGAAGCGATGAAAAATATCAACGAGTTTCTCTCTGAGCTTCATCGATCAAACGAGATGTGTGAGATATGAAATTTAGAAATAGGATAATTCGAAGTAAATAGGATAACTGTATTAAAATTGTTCACCTGTTCACCGATGCCGCAAGTTTTAGAGCACGGCGACCACTCGGTCCACTCGCTCACCACGCAGTCCCGCCGCGGCCGCTCTGCAACAAACAATTCATTTCGCACTCCGTAAAAAGTTACAAATAATGCAATAGTAACATGGTATAAAACTTTAAATTTAAATTTGTTTCATATGACTATAAAGAACATCATTATAATTCAAAACTTAGACTCCCATTAATCCCTCATTACTTTATCCTACATGCTTTTGATTAAATATTTTTCTTCAAATACATGAATTGCACATTTTTTAATTGCAAATAATTTTTTTTAAGTTACACATCCTAACGTTTATTTATAAGATATATTATATCGAAAACTGGAGGGAGTACAAAAGTTTTAGCAAATAGTTATTCTTGAAAATTCGAAATCATTGCAATAGCTCATGGTATTATTTTCTGTAACCAAATTAAACAGGTAAATTGAACATTCAAGCATGCACATACTTCTGTTCCTCGTTCATGGTTTACCGAAAATTCATGCACATAGTCACTTATTGAGTTCATGTCAGACATTCTTAAAAATAGAAGACAGCAACATAGAAGCAATTTATATGTAATAGAAGATAATATTACATGCACGACTATATACAATGTCACCGACTATTAAAATATTTATGCCCTTGCACGGACTTTACAGCAAGAAAATTATTAGATGTTAAAATCATTAGAATCTCATCGACAGCGACGGATAGAAGCGTTTTAGGATATCATGCACATTTATTTTCAAAAATACCAAACCTTCATTGATTCCAATACATAAAAACTCTGCGGTTATCTTTGACCTTGAATTGTAGACCTTTAAACTTGTGGCATAGATTTCAACTTCAGTTAAGTCTAACAGCATGTAGCATTTTTTAGCAATAAAATCTGCAGTCTTCATAAAGGATTCACTATTACATAATTCAACGTCCATGCATAATTTACCCTTGTGGGTAACATTAACATTAAAACTTACGTGCAGAAAAGCAGTTGGCTTGGCATGCAGCTAAAAGATCGAATTTAATACTAACGTGCATACACTTTCAAAAATAAGGATCCAATTCAGGTTTCCGATACTTTTCTTTCGGGTCTTAGTAGAATTAAAAGTTATTACCGTCGAATTTAATGAATTTAACGTTAATTAACGACAGTTAATATTATTTTGCGTTAGGCATGCAAATTAAAACGGCTGAGAAGAATGGCAAACAACTGTAGTCTCACTTACGTGTTGCCATCTTCCTGCCTCGCCTGTTTTTCTTATATCTTCTCTTGGAGATTTTGTTCATAATGTTGTTGATGAGGGCATGCTTAGAAGACCCGGGGCCAACGGACGCGGCAGACACTGCTGCAGGGAGCACGTCGTTACTCACAACAAAGTCATCTTCGTAGCGCGGGTGAGGTCGGCGAGCAGCGGCCGCTACAGCGCCTCCGCCTTGCTCTACCGCGTAGGTTGTGCGGTCACCTGACGTCTGGTGGTAGACTTGTCGTACGGGCGACGGCGACGCGTCGAACTCACGCGCCAGTTCGTACTCACGTACCTGTAACGTGGAGATATTTTGCATTAGCTTTACATTTTGTTTTCTTTCGTTGTTTAAGAGTCAATCCTGCATAATATATTATATACTTGTTCTTCATTTAAATTTTCGACTACGTAACGCAAGTGTAAAGAATTCGTGTTTAATGGTCATTATGGTGGCATAAACGAAAAAGTCTTAGTGAACACTAAACACCTCTTGGTGTCATTTAGAGCATATGGATCAGAAAGAGGAGAACTTACCCGTCAGTAAAAATTACTATTATTAAAAATTTTTCATGATCTTTTGACTGATTTTTTATAGATCAACAACTCTGTACGGAGGTCCTAACCTTGACGAACTGGAAGGTAGCGATGGGTGGATGCTGCAGACGGTCGGGGTAGAAGAATGAGTTGGCGGGATGGTCGGGGCTCTGAGCGGTGATGCGACTCACGGGCTGCTGGGGGATGGTCGGCCAGTTGGGGGATGTAAATGTGAAGCCGTTGTCCGATCCTGCGTCCATGGGATCCACCTGTACCGACGCCAATTATTTGATACAAATTTTCGATAGCACAATAATTTATGTATAGTATTGTTGTTAAATTTGCGTTCCGTTCGTCTGCACAACGAGTCTTTCAGTCAGCATTTCTCAAACAGAATTCTTGATCGTGCATTTTTTAAATTCTTNCTTCCTGCCTCTAAGAAATTTCCATGCGAGAAGAAATTTGCCTCTAAGAAATTTTCCATGCGAGAACAAACCTTAAATTGGCATAAATTTAATATTGTCGATAACAACACATAAATAACGTTAAAGTTAAAATCACGTGGCTATTATAGGATAACTACAAGGAATAACGTTGCGGAGAATTTCTCACGTCCCGTTTTTATTCTAGAAAAAGACTAGTCGCCCTTTTATAATCATCATTAACGACTAATGATTGAGTCCAACTATGAATAAAGCACTGAATCAAATTGCGCAAATTCTGTATTTTAAAAATTTCGTATCTTAAAAAATTTATTGTTCTAAAATTTACCGGTGATATTTATTTATTTCCTTAAATAAACTTATTATCTGAACTCGCCTCCAAGATAACAGACTCCAGCCACAAGCCCTCGACGCAGAGGTTGAAGGACTCCACGCCGATGAACCAGTCGGGGGAGGGCACAACTCGGGCCACCAGCGACACCTACCGCCATAAATAATTCAAACCCCACGATTCTCCATAGGAAAAGTTATTGCCAATTATTACCCTGTTCACAATAAGCATCATCAGTAACAAGCACTCGTGAAACAAAATACACTGACAACCAAGAAAAATTTTATAGACCGTCAAACTCCACCACTATTCCTTTCAAATATTATTGTCGATTCTCATCTCAGTTTGAAAAAGGTAAACCAAAAACATTCACATGTGAGACAGACAAACTATGAATTCTCAGAAAGGGTAGATGGTCCTGAACCCTGATGTATGTTAGGTTGGCGACATCCGATTTCCCAGTAACATTAGACGAATAAAATGTCCAGTAATTCCTCCATCTCATTTGTGAAATACACACACGAATATCTCTATCAAACATGATAATGATGTGTGATTCAGTACTTCTACTGAAATTGTTATGACTTTGATTCTCAAAATTAACGCAATATCGATCGATGGTCCTCACGAGACCTTGGATAAATAACAATGGTGTGACTCTTTTAAAGTTGCGATTCCCAATACTTATTTGAGTATATGCTCAAATTTTTTATCGTATTCGTAAAAAACGAGTGTGAGTGATTGGTGACTATAATAAAATGTTCATCCGTGCATAACAACTCTGAGTCAGAGTGATAAGTAACCAGTTATGAAAGCCCCAGAATAAAATTATACGAACTCCTTGTGCACGTCTAATGAGAACGAAAACTAACCAATGAATGGTTTCCGTCGATGAAGAACTCAGCCTCGCTCTGCCCTGTCCCTTCTGTGATGGGCGGCGCATTGAACTCATCGAAGACGCCGCCTTCGCCCTGACTCTCCTGGTCCAGCAGGTTGGTGTCCCCTTGCTCAGCGAATATTTTCAGGCCCGGGGACACCTTGGCGCCCACCTTGAAAAGCTCGTAGCTGCTGTTGTGCGACCGGCCTGTGAACAAACGGACAATAACAAATATAATCTGTTACTGTTTCTGATACATATGATCAGCGACCGAATATGTTATAATACAATCCGTGACAGTTTCTGATAATTGTATGATGATCTAACACTTCCAATAATCTTGATGTTTCTGATGCAGAGAATCGGATTTTGTTATTTAGTAACTATGATCAGTGACTGTCTCAAAAAAATATAATAAATATTAGGCATCCCTGATGAATAATTATTCGTAGTTATAGAAAATCAATTATATAATCACCATAGTAATCACCTATACAAATCATCATCATTGAATAATAATTCATGTGCTTATGTAAATGTATCATTTTTAGTAACTTTGGAGGAATTTATGATCAAAATTTCAATTTGGACCACCATAATGAATCTGTTCTTAGCATTCCGCTGAATAAAAACTTTGTTGAATCTTCCTAGCTGGTCCACATACATTTTCTGCTATAGTCACTGCAGCCACGGAGAAGCGGGTCTGTTTCAATTGTTTGGAGGCATGCCTCTGGCAAATATCGCTTATAGGCTATCCTTGATTGTCTGCATGAAGAGGTATTTTTATCACGCTCAAGACATTGATCATAGTGCCTCTTTACCTAAGCATTCTCTGAAACCTGAAATTCTTAATCATTCAGAACGCAGGACTTTCATTGATACTACTCAATTAACGCTTGCCTTGCAAAATTAATGTTACATTCACATCAGGCTTTGGCCAACAAAAGATTATTCACCATATTTTAATTCAAGACTGAAATGAAAAATTTTCGTTCCTCTCTGCTTAATACGAATTTCGATGTCTTATATATCGCTGCATTATTTCAATCGCTTTTATCGTTCTCGAGTTCGGTGATGCATTAAATGCAGAATACATGCATTTCCTCTCATGCAGATGACGGGTTTCCCCACCGTTGTTTCTTCGTGCTTTGCGAAACAAGAAACGGTTTTATTAAGATTGCATAAAATAACGGTACCTTCTCTTTAATTACTTATAAATTATTTTTTTTTGCTTAAAAACTTATGCGTCATAGCCTGAACTATACAAACTCTTACAGGGAAATTTTTTTCACAAAACGAAACCCAATAAGATTGGGATTGGTAGAGTAACGCTCCAACGAATACTTTCTGGACCAAACAAATGAAGTTCTGAACGATAAATTTGTCAATGCTCATCGGTAAAAGGCATAAAACACAATAGTGTAAAATATTTCCAACGCCTGAGTCCTGAGGAATCAGTTTAGCTTTCAAAAAAAAAAAAACAGAAGCCGAACAAGTGAGCTGGGTTGTGAGGCGAGACGACAAATTCGTCGCTGACTCACGACCGAGTAGAGGACAACTGGCATCCGAAGACAACTTAGTGCATTTCATCGATTACTTCACCTCTTAAAATATCACCAAGCAGGAAAACCCGGACACTATAGAAGTCTGCATAGAAGGCTTTGTTGTTTTAACACTTGTCATGGTTTTGTAAAACTTGTACAGGAAGCTAAGAGTCACTGTTTTTTAGAGCGCAGATCAGCACATGAAGCTCGTAAAAAGTAACGTAACATGACACATCCAAGCAATAACTCCGGGACGACACGCCAAACTTTGGCATCTGAGATGCGATCTTCGGAGGTGAGGGCACGAAGCGTCAGCAACACAATGGTGACCGCGACGAATTTATTAGCAGTACGTCGCTCCAAGCAAACCTGTGTAAGCCTCACCCATGATCTTGCCTTGTAAGGAATGTGATATTATATTTCAACCAAATAGATTAGACGTCCTATTGTTGCATTAAATTAAAATTTTCATAGAAAAAAATGTGTCAAGAGACACGAATTTGTCCATCAATCCGGTAGAGCGTAAGCAATTTCTACCGCAATTTGTCCTATTCTACACAATTGAAATATTGTATTCAATTTTTCATGTCGCTTTCTTTTATATATTGCAATATCCCAGAATTTAGTTTTGGGTGCACTTACAGAGCAATCCCCGCTCCCAGCTGAATCTCGCAGCTGAAATAGCGAATTCTCGGACATCGAGACTGACTTCCAATGCATTCACGACAAGCTGGCGAGGTCTTAAAATACTTTGAAGTGAGTAAATAATGAAAAATGTATGATCTGCTTTCATATTATCAATATATTTTCATCATCCTAACCTGAATGCTGTATTGAACTAATTGAAATTCACTACTTCTAACATTAATGAATAGTTCATTTGTGTTTGAATTTTCAATCAAATGTTCTTTATATGAAAATTCCATTAATGAACTATTCATTACATTCGCCGTAATGAAAATTAAACTCATTATTTTCACTCGAGGCTTTTGTTCCTAAGCAACAGTACGGCCCACTATAAGCAGCAGCTGGCATCATTGTTTTGCGGATAATCAGGCCCCTAAACCCGAGACTTCGTCTAGTCTTATCTAATAGAGTAAATGAATGGATATTTCCGGGTGTATGTAGAGCAGCAGCGACAGCAAAATCAATGTTGATAGCTGGCTGACCCTCGCTGGCCAGCTTGCTGACCTTTGCTCAGTCTGATAACGTATAATGAAGGCCTTGTGTTGAATATAATTTGAATCAAATGAAACGGGCTGTTCCAATGTCCCGCAAGAATTGGGAACTAGATTTTTTAAATATCCTTGCAAAATATATGTATCTGTTTTACGCAAGCATTTTGACTGGTAATCTTTGAGATAATTTAGGCACTACTGGTTTATTCAAATACATGCAGTTTGTCGTAGATCTAACGAATACTAATTAAATCACCCAACATACCGCTTCGCCACTACCACTGAGCGTTTCACCTTATGAATCCTTTTATTACCCTAAATTATACAAATGATTTGCAATTCTATGCTTTAATCTTTAATATTCAATTGAATGACATATTTTTCACAAATCTTTGAAAATGTAGTTGAATTAAGTGTGATAAATGGTTGTGTTTTGCAAAAGAAGTCTTAAATATTAATTCACTAATATATTTAGAAAGCACGCCAGACTTCCTTAGTGTAAGTCTCAGAGTTAAAATTGTCATTGAAGACATCACTGAACCCACTTGAGTTATTGAGGATATCACTGAACCCACTTGAGTTATTGAGGACATCACTGAACCCACTTGAGTTATTGAGGACATCACTGAACCCACTTGAGTTATTGAGGACATCACTGAACCCTCTTGAGTTATTGAGGACATCACTGAACCCTCTTGAGTTCAACCTCGCTGATACCGCTGCTCTTAGCTCCAATGTTCAGTGCCTGCGCCGCTGCATTTTAGAATGCATGTGGAAGCAGCAAATGCATTTGACGCCCAGATGAGCTTTACGATAGGAAATCCTACATTTAAATTTGACGCTTAATTTTGAGAAGACGTTTGCGCTCGCGCAGATTAAGTCTGTTTTATCTGATTATTTATTTATATAAATGCGGAGGGAGGGTTTGTATACCTATTGATGAATCTTGAATAGGCAATTGACTATTTGTGTCTCAGTTGTGGCTTATAAAAGTGAGTGCACATCAATTCGATTAGTTGCAGCCCGATTACAAAAAACTGCACTGTGTAAAAATGCAGGGCAAACTGTGCTATTAAATTAATTACCTTGACCGCAGCAGGAAAGTCTTTAAAGAAGTAGTGCATGATCTTCGTAGATTTTAAATTGTGTTCGCTCGTCGTCGTGTTAATTGGGCATTTCTTCAAGGCCAAGCATCGACAAAATTTTTAAAATAATTTATAACTTACTCGTACCAAATTTTTAAACTGAGTTATGAATCTAACGGATCTCGTTGAATGATTTAATTAACAGACTTAGGGTATCCTTTCTTCATATTTTTCTTCGTAAATATCTATTTTATACACTAAGCTGTACGTATATACTTAAATATTATCTAAGCTGTACGTAATAATATTTCTGAGCAGCTGGATTTATGGCACTATACGAAGCTTCTCCCGCAATGACAATAACAAAACTCGTCCAGGCAATAATAAGAGAAGGTGAAGCGGTCAGTTCTGCCTGCATCTTATATACTTCTGCATTTTCAGACGATTAATGATGACAGCGCCTAAGCAGGGGGACGACTTGTGTGGCTACCCGATATAATTCATAGATTACGCAGGCCTCCAAACCTGTCATATTTTACATTATCACGTAGCCAATCGCGGTGATTCATGGATTATGCCCGAGCCTCCAAATTAAGCTCCTATTTTATTATTTATTATTATCACAAAACCACTCACCGTTATTCGCTAGCCTCCAAACCTGTCATATTTTACATTATCACGTAGCCAATAGCGGTGATTCATGAATTATGCCCGAGCCTCCAAAGCTCCTATTTTATTATTTATTATTATCACAAACCACCCACCGTTATTCCCTAGCATCCAAACCTCCGATATGAAATATTACGCCAAGGTCATCAAGAAATTCTATAGCTTATTAATGCTGAGTTTCAAGTGGCTACCCACGAAGATGTCCAGCCACTCGACGTACCTTTCCCATTTTAGACATTGTCATGGCCGAGCGTCTGTACCATGTAGGACCACGTCAAAGATTGTCACCATGTCAGACCAGGTCAAAGATTGTCAACATGCCAGACCAGGTCAAAGATTGTCACCATATCAGTCCTGGTCAAAGATCCCAATCCCAAAGATCCCATGGTCCCAATCTTTGACCAGGACCATATCAGTCCTGGTCAAAGATCCCAATCCCAAAGATCCCATGGTCCCAATCTTTGACCAGAAACATGTCAGTCCTGGTCAAAGATTGTGTTCATGTCAGTCCGGGTCAAAGATTGTCTCCATGTCAGTCCTGGTCAAAGATTGTCTCCATGTCAGTCCTGATCAAAGAGTGTCATCATGTCAGTCCTGGTAAAAGATTGTCACCATGTCAGTCCTGGTCAAAGATTGTTACCGCGTAAACGCCGGCCCTGCAGCAACACATGCATTCCGTGTACATGCAATATTTTGTCTCAAGCTATTTGCATCAAATCTCTTAAATGACG